ATGGGTCTGCTGCAGTACAGCCTCCTGAGTTTTTAGGGGTTAGATGCCCTGCTCAAGGGCACCTGAGCAGTGCCCCCGAGGTAACACTTCAGCCCCAAGTCCACCTTTGCATTGACTGGTCCATGCTGGACTGGAATACTGGGCATTCTGATCTCCAAGCCAGGAACTAATGCCGCCCACACTTACTTAATAGTTAAATATATTTATATAATATATATATATAATGAAACACAGGATGTCATAAAACATCTGTATTCGAAAGATTCTGTGTGAGGAATGGCTTTAATTTTTGGCTAATCCTGTGTCGTAAGGAAAGAGTGAGGTTTTCACATATTAATCATCCAGTTAGCTTAGGTGGGGGGTTGCTTATGTGCAAATGTTTGTGACAGATTATTTTCCATTTGGCATTTGTTTGGTGCTTTACTGGTTTTGTGGGATTCAGAAAATGAATTGCTGAAGTGGGAGAGTACCACAAAATATCAAAACAAGGCCAAATACTTCTGGGGATTTTTGTACTAAACCAGATTCATGTTAGTCATGCCACTTCATTCATTCCATAGCCTAGCATATTTCAGAACTGTCCGGACCAGGATGTGCTGACCCAAAAGATAGAACCTCTTGAGAATCAGTTTTCCAGCAGTATGTATATATATATATATATATATATATATATATATATTTCTCTTTTTCCTTTTTCCTTTTTTCCCTTCTGCCGTCTGATGTTCAACCCTGTGGTCACTTTCTCAGGATGACATCATAGATGATGTGGAGGACTTTGTTGCAACAGCAGAAATCCTGAAGGAGAGGGGAGCCTACAAGATCTACATCATGGCTACACATGGCCTACTGTCTGCAGACGCCCCAAGACTAATTGAGGAGTCTGCAATTGATGAGGTAAAATCATGTGTGGATCGCAAACTTATGTGTCATCCCATCCTGTCGCTGACATTAACATTCAAAGGTGCTTGGAAAATTTGTTTTAGTATGTCAAAATTCGGACAAAGTTGACCTATAGCTAATCTCATTCATTTTTATTTTTTTTATTATCAGAAGCTTCAATAACCATAACCCAATCCCACCTGAGTACATGCACAGTCCATACTGTAGACCAGATCAGCATTTTACCTTCCTCCTCAAAAAATTAAAAACAATCACTTGTGCACATATTAGTCTTTCTAAAACAAAGATGTCAGTTTTGTGACGTATCCCATCATATTTATTTATTCATGCATGTATTGTCCTTCATGGTTATCTGGGGGCTTTGTTAATATCTCAGTGAGGTGTGAATCTAGAGAAAGAATGTAAAACTTAACTTATATAGTAATATGACTTTTAGAGAGTTCCTTCATTATAAACCTTTTCAAAAGCTATAGGGGACTTTCCCCTGAATTCTGCTTCTCAACAACTCTGTTGGTAAGATACAGTGACAGGACTGGCTTTAATTATAGGGGAATTTTATGTCATGAGAGGGAGGTATTGACATTAAATAATTACGTAAAGTTAGTTGGGGGTATCTTTATATGCAGTTATGTGATTATATCCTTTCCATGTGGCAAAATTCATAAGAAGCCCCATAGTTGGTCTCATAATTTGCCAATTTTAGCTTGAGAAGAAGTTATAGAGCTGCCCGAGAGCCTAGACTCTGTGCTGCAAAGTCCTCACAGGAAAGAGACTAACCAAAAGGCACTAAATCTGTTGTATTGCGCCTCCAGGTGGTTGTGACCAACACTGTGCCTCACGAGGTGCAGAAGCTGCAATGTCCAAAAATCAAAACTGTGGATGTCAGTATGATCCTGGCTGAGGCCATCCGGCGCATCCACAACGGAGAGTCCATGGCCTATCTGTTCCGCAACATCGCTGTGGATGACTGAGGCAACACACACTTACATTTACATTCCTGCATACACAAAGCAAACATTACCAAGTGTGCACACACACACACACACACACACACACACACACACACACACACACTGATGACCAAGAATCAAGTTTACTGCAGTTTCGGCTTTAATCTGTTGTTTCTCTTTGTTTTGCTGATAAACATGTTGACAGAAATTGGCTTTATTTACAGTGTTTCATACAAAGCAAGTCAAACTCTGCTTTATTCCTCTGATATGTTACATAGTGGGACTGTACAAACAATGCAAACTATTTCACTTAACTAATATATGCTTCCTACCATCTGAAAACATGAATAGCACAACATAATGTAATGTGTGCAGCCTATCAGTATGCTGTAGAGTTTGACAAATAAAAATTATTCTTGGGTGAGTAAAGTCCTGTCATTTTCTTTGAACCATGTAGATTTAAAGTGACAATTCGCTTGGATATATTTGAATAAATGCAGCGTAGCATCACAGCTGGCATTAGTGAGGACACACATGGTTTGCTTTTTAAATGTAAAATATTTCTGGAACTGTCCAGAAATGTACAATACAGTTGCTTCACACCTAAACCTAAACTTTCAGTAGCAGTTTCAGTCAGAGCGGAGGCAGCTTGACTTATGAAGCATGGAGAAGTATCATAAGTCAAGCTACAGTGTTCAGCTATAGTTAGATGAAAGTGTCTATCATAAATCCTGTGCCAAAGAGCTCTGCATTGAACAAAGTGTAATTTTATAGTTGCAGTATATTATACAGTACAGCACTTATCAGGAAACAGTACAGTGTAGGAAAAAGGTTTGGTGTAATGTAGACAGGGTGCTGGGATTTGATTGTTGTAATGTTCCGTGATTCTTATCTTTTATTTATTTTTTTAAGAAATCCTGCTTAATGGGTGACATACCTGACACAGAAGATAAATTAACTCATAAAGAACGAGTTAGTTGATTTTTGACCAGTTATGATTTAGCATTTACAATTATTTAATATGTACCACAGATCTGAAGCTCTTAACCACTGTGGGTATACAGTATATGATCACTGTTATTTGTGTACTAGCCTTTAAATTACGTTTTGGTTGATCTTTTCCAATTGTAAATAGATAGATGACTAATTCACAAGTGTATCTCACACATTGACCCGTGACCCGTAAAGTAGAGTAAAAAGATTGCCTGTGAGTCAGTCTGCAGTTATTTTTGATCTTCAACAGAGGAAGTAAAACAAAAAACAAAAACCTACATTGTAGTCATCTGAATAGACTAAAATACTACTTAGTTTATATACATACTGATGAAAATTCTTTACACAATTGAATAATCTTGCTGTGTTTGCCCAGGACCCTGAACTTGTTCTAAACGCCTCAGAGTCTCTTTAATCTGCTGAGGAGCTTTGACCAAGTCCGGGGGCAAAGACATTTGAGAAAATGTGTCATGAACATATGAATGGCCTCATTCACTATAACTTAAATCAGACCATTGAATGCTAATAAAAGTGAAATCAAAAAAAGTAAATCAAAGGTAGTGTATGTAAAATGACTACCCAAAAATCCTCAAATATCTCATAAATAATAATAATACATAAATAAATAAAAATCTACACCTCAGACTTAAATTCAAGTAGTACTCTGTGTTACGAGATGACAAATCCACACACCTGCCAGACTGTGAAGCTGCATGGCCTCCCTCCCCATCGCAAATGAAATAAAGTGGAGTGCGGAAGAATGTTTAAATGTGGATTGAAAGAGGAACTGCTCACAAACGTTTACTCGGCCACTTCCTCAAATTAAAACAGGAAACTTGGTTCAGTCTAATCTGATGGTGTGGAGTATGTAGGGGTAGTGGGGGGGCTTGGACCTGAGCACTTCAACTGTCTCCGCTCAGCAGGTTGCATTTAGGGGAACCGTGCACAGCTATTTCAGGAACTGTACAATGGTCCATTTTGTCAACCGGTTAAACGGGAGCTGAGTATTCAAATTGTGTGATGCTTAAGGGCAGTTCAGTTTGTTTCTCTTAATGCCGACTGCTGTCCCCTCAGGCCTGGAGCCAGTTAGAAGAGTTTAACTGGCAGGTCACACTTGCTCTTATCTTAAGTTAGAATCGTTTTCAGTCATCAGAAATATGTAAAGTGTTGCATCAGTTGTTTACTGTACAGCAAATGCTGTTTTATTGTTCACAAAAGCCAGCTTAAATACAATAGACCTCATCAAGCATTTATGTAGTCAGTCCAGTCACTCCGGACTGATGATGGACAGTAACATCAGCACACATTTATATTGTTATCAGAACACTGGTGAAACCTAGGAGGATAGAAACACAAGGCAGTGAGTTTGTGAGAGGACACTTCAAGTTACAAACCCAAGCATTTAAACTCTGAGATTTGAGTCACTGGGCTTTTATTTTATGATATAATTTCACAATTGTACTGTATGTTGAAGCCTCAATGGAGATATGATGATAGACACAATATAATAATGCTGTTACTACTGTAGTTTCAGTGAATGTAATGTAGGTTTTTCATCAGCAGATGGCAACAGAGATCTTAAAATACTGCAGGATACCAAAAGAAACTAGAACAACACAGTGAATACTTTTTGTTGCCATTCACTGGCTTATTTTGGCAAATTTTGGATCAAATGGAGCAGTAGATGTAATAGCAGAAAGCATGCTGGGAACCCACCCAAAGTAATCAGTATTCATGGTGCCCTCTTCAAAAAGATTTCCTGACCCGATGAAGAACACATCTCTCAAATGTAATTGTAAAAATCCTGTTTTAGGTGGAATAGGATATTATTCATAACTATTCCAGCTTCAAACGTGTACATGTTATATAAATGACAGCAGTCCTATGATACAGTACTATATACTGTAGCTATGAAATGGTATCTTGACCTTGATGTATTTTATTAATGTTGTTTTGTTTTATTTATTTATACATATTGTTATTCATTGCTGCACTGACTTGATTTCTTAAAGGCATTTACAATTTTTTTGTAATTGATGATCAATTCATTATTTACTTTGAATTACTTATACCTCATTTACATAATTATTTACCTAAAATGAAATAATACATAATGTATACATCTAGCTACATGAACATCAGTTTCACATGACGAACTTCACTAGTTGTATGCTTCTTTCTTTTATTACACATTTACATCCACATTTCACTTACATTTGTCAAATAAACAGCAAAATAATAACATTTGTAAGAATATGCCATGATAAAAAAATCGAATCGATTAAAAAAAAAAAAACAAGCTAAAAAAAACATTTTGAATGGTCATTTCGTCATGAAAAAGTGCATTTACAGTTTACATTTGCATTTCACAATTTTTTTTTAAAAAACATAAGAATAATGTCATGCTCAATGGCAACATTGGAATTGAATACAAAAAATTGTAAACATTAAGATGTGCTACAGGTGAATTATTAAATAAAAATACTTTACATGAGACATAAAACGTTTGCACATACCACAACATACACATATATACACACTTTCTCTCAGTAAACAATCTGTTAGCAACAGTCTTACTATCTGTGAATCAAGTGAACAATTTAATTTAAACTCCAAATCCTATACATTGATCTAAACACCAGCAGCATGTCACAAAATAAGCAGCAACAACATTACATGAAGTAAACAACTGAGTAATTAATGCATCTTCCTTCTTTCCCCTGGCAGTCTGTTCAAGTTCAGTCAACATTCACCTCTTCATGTTTCTCAGTTGTGAACCCTGAGGTGTCTCCATTGGGCAAGAATCTCTGATCTCAGTCAGCTCTTCACTTTAAACTCCCACTAACTGAAGTCAGTCAGCCTTTTCTCGTTCTCTCTGTCCAACAGCACTGAGTTGCACATCATACCCTCCATCCTCTCATCTCGTGTCCCTTCGTGAAACAAAGCTTCTCCTCCATCTCCCATTACGACAGAATACAGCTGTTAGTCTTGTTCATGGGCGGCCGGAAGTTGGTGTCTTTCGGAAAGGTCTCCCTGCGTCTGCGTAGCGCTGGGCTGAGGCGGCTGGGAAGGTTCGCCTGCTGCAGGAGCTCCTTGAACACCTCCACCACATTGGCATTCTCCTTCGCCGAAGCTTCCAGGTAGCTGTTGTTCCAATCCATCTCCACAGTTGACAGCACGTCCTCGTTGGACACCTGTCGCTCCTTCTCGCGGTCCACCTTGTTCCCCACCACCACGATTGGTGTGTACTTGTCCTCCTTGATCTCCAAAATCTCATCTCGGAGGCTCTTGACAGCCTCCAGTGACTCTGGGTCATCCACTGCGTACACCAGAGCGAAGGCGTCGCTGTTTTGGATGGAGAGCTTGCGCATGGCCGGGAAGGAGTAGCTGCCACTGGTGTCCAGGATTTCTACTGTGATCTTTACCCCACCGATGTCGTACTCCTTGCTGTGCAGCTCCTCCACTGTGCGTCGGTGTTTGGGCTCAAATGTGTCTTGGAGGAAACGTTGGATCAGGGCTGTCTTGCCCACTCCTGCTGCCCCCAGAAACACTAGACGCACTTGGGTTTTCTCCTTCACCTCCAGAGACATGCTGGGTTTTTTTTTTATTCTTGCAAAAAGAAGTAGAGAAAATGTCCTGTTCCAACAGCTGCTGTAAAACTGAAAATTTCACTAGTCACTGACTTCTACTTTTCTAAATAGTTTTTCTTAAAACTCTCCCCTTCCACTGTTTTTTGTGAGTCTTCTTCTTGTGCTTCTTTCCCACCTCCCAGTTTTGTTAAGTTGGCAGCGGCTGTCTGTCAACACTACTCAGTGTTGCTTGTTGGATGCTCCTCTGTGCCTGAATCCACACACACACTGCCTTTTATGCCTGTTTTGACGAGAGAGCTTTCATGCCCTCCTGCCTTTGCAGCCAATCAGCAGAAGGCAGCCTGTTGAAGTGTAACATCCAGGGAACCAATGATGGCAGAGCATGTAAATCGGTGTACGGGGAGGAAGGAGGTGATATCTGAAAGTGAATAAACAGCCAGCAGAGAGTGGAGATGGGGATGGAGACAGATATGAGGAAATCTCTTCAGCTCTATTTAGATTTTGTTCCAGCAAAGAGTTCAGTACCTCCAGAGTCTGCTGTTGCAGCATAACAGAGTCAAACCCATCCTTCCCTTGTGGTTGATTTATGAACTTACCTTTGTTAAACAACAAATAAATTCTGATTATTCATGCTCTGACATCCTTTTGTAGGAAATATGTTTGACAGGAATGCCACCTTGCATATCTGATGAGTAATAAACATATGTAATTTATATTCATATTTACTTCCTGGATCCCTTTTTGTTATGTGCCAATATGAGAACATCCACCTTTACATGGATAATGAAAGTGTATGTAAGGTTCAGGTCACATTTGTTGAGATGGAAGATAATATTCTATTAAATTGACAGTGAAGCTATTGGTTTACTATTATCATGTTTGTATTATTCAGTTTCCTGTTTTGAAAAATGCTTCACATATGTCTGTAATCTTGTTTATAGGTCTGTAGTCACTGTGCAGAATATGCGAGAATTCTAACACAATTACAGTGGATTCATGGATCAATTTTGGTAAGGCGGGGAAAGGCGCATTTATTTACATAGCACCGTTCAAGGACAGGGCTATTCCATTGCTTTATATAAAGCATTAAACAATATTTAAATAGTTTATATATGAAAGAAATACAAGACAATATTAAATACAATGTTTTTAGGATACAAAAAGAATACAATAAAATTGTTAAAAATAAGCTTAAATTTAATAAAATAAACAGAAATAAAGATCACAGAGCAGGACAAAATATGATTTTATTTAATGCAATAAATGGAAAAGAGAAAAGGTTCTAGATATGTGGTGCATAAAAACAAAATTCTGCATTGGTTTGAGAGCATTGGATGGTTAACAGTAACTACCAGTCAGAAATGTGTTGAGGCCCTAGACCACACAGTACACTATAATCCAGACATGACATTACATGAAGCAGGTACAAAGATTTAAGACCTTCAAAGTTTTGCTTCACTTTCGTGGTCTTAGTGTGTAAGTAATCTATTTACATTGTTAACTTTTGGCGGCCAAAAACCTTCAGTGCATGCAGCAGTATAGATGTATAGTATACATTATTGACTCTTTAGAATGGATGTCAGCCAGGGATGGGAGTCCATGCAGTCACTGTTTCTCCACTCCAGTTTGTTGTTGTTTTTTCTCCTGTAATAAAAGCAAAGTCACAAAAGGTCAAAAGCCTGAGTTGAAACCATATGATTTCCTGTGGTGTGAAGAAATTAAAAATGTTTATCTGCCTTTAAGCTGATAAACATATCCCTTTGGCAAACTGTAATGAGAGCAGCTTATAGATCAGTTCAGTCACACATGGCAATGCATGACTCTGTGTGAATCACCTTCAGCTGTCCTTGGTGTCCAATTAGATGTGATGCATTGCCTGTAACTGTCTGAGAATGAATCCTGCCTTCCTCCAGTTCGTCAGAGTTTGTTCTAGAGGAGTGAGCCTGACTCGTGAGACTCCTAAATTTCCCTTGAGACTAGCGTTGTTCACAGTCTGCGACTCGCTGCCTTGTTAGGTTAGCCATCAGCGTGGAACCAAGATAAGCCGCAGGGAACATTATAACCGCTGTTCCACTGACACACACTTTTAATATGCACCCATACACTGTCTCCCCAGGGGGCTGCTGTACCTGATGAGCAGCGGAGCTGAGCTAAGCACTGTGAGAATAATAGCTGCGGTCTGTCCTGACACAAAGTGTGAGAATCGCTAATGGCTGCTGTGACTGCAGAGGAATTCATATTAGGGTTGCTGTTGACAGTTGTCGTTGGATTGTCCTGATTGGCACATCTTCACAGCTCAAAGCTTAGAGATGACAAAGTAGTGAAGAATGGATTTCAGTCTGATTACTGCATATGTCTTTGTGGGTTTGTTGTAGAATAAATTTACTCAAGAGCTAACTGTCCATTTTATTAACTAGTTATTTTTCAAATTAAAGATCCTCTTTAGACATATTTTCAAAGATATACAAATACAAAAGTTGTCTGGCATAGTTTTTCCACAAAAGAGTTCAGTTGCTTAGTTAAGAATTGATCACATAACATCTACTCCGTGTCTATCCTGACTGAAAAATCCAGAATTTATCAACATGAAAACATTTTTAATTTGAAAAGTTTAACTACTGAATACAAGATGTCTTCTACTGCACTAAAAAGTCAGTTCTCAGTGTGTGTGCACTGGAGGCTTCAAGTTTTCACAACAAACATTCAATTGTAATAATAATAGGGAAAACATTTTTGAGTGAAGGGGGATTTAAGGTTATACATATGATCATCTTCTAAAATATGTGTGGAATACCCTTATACCCAACTTGCAAACTGAAGAAAGCCACAAAACTATAGATGCTGAACCCATTCAGCCTAAAAATCAGCACCATTATGAACTTAAAATTAAATGAAAAATGGACATTCCATCAGTAAGCCACTGAGCGTTTTCTTGTGTGCTTCATGTGCTATTATGTCTCATATTCCTGACATGTTTCTTGTATTTCTATTTACGGTCATGCTGCCCTGTGGTGATGATAATGACCAGATGGCATTGCCTGTTGGACTGAAACAAATGCTCAAGCTCTGCTGTGTGTTAAGAAAAGACACTATTCACACCATCACACATTATAAAAAATGTCATTGCCATTCATTTCAATGCATTCTTTTACATTTAAAGATATTTATTTACAGCCTGTATTTAGTTCTAGACAAAGCTTCTGTAACTCATGTTGTCTGATACAAGAATCTATATATTTTATCCTCCCTTCATCCATTCATCCTCTATGTTAAGTTCAGCTGCCCAGTTTCCAGTGCTTATTCAACAGGTTGTTCATGACAGTCATTTTGTTTCAGTAAGTGTGTGTTTTTGTAATAGCCCTCCTGTTGCTTGAGTGCTGCTATTTCCTCTTCCTCTTCGTGTTCATTTCTCCTTCACAGACTGCCAAAAAAACAACACAAACACAGTTGCCATGTTATTTTGCTGTTGTTTGAGGAGCCAATTTTTTTTCATGCACCGGTCCCAGGTCTTCCAAAGAGGGAAAGTCGATTAATGTTAGTTTTCTTTGTCGTTATTTGAAATAGATGTCCTTGTGGCCTTGTGTTTCATAGAGGGGGAATGGCCCTGGCTCTGTATATTGATGGAAAGTGGCCTGCAGTGTCTTGGCCCCCATGGCCTGAACGCCTGCACCTCCATCTCTCATCCTGTCAAGATGATGGTGTTGAATTCTGACAGGTGCCAAATATAACTGTTGCCCTATGTGTGAATTAACTTTCACTGTTACTACAATATTCTCTCCCTATCTGTTCTTACATGAAGAGGAAGAGGAGGGCTGTTGATGGTTTAATGCAGGTACAAAGAGGACATTGTATGAAACGTTAAATACGCCTTCAAACAGAGTTTTGAAAGTTTATTGAAAGTGAATTGTTGGTTTTATTGATATTAAAACAATATATAATATTGTCAGCCTTATACTTTACTTAAAACTGTCAAGAAACATTTTACCCTCCACACTGTTCAATTCTAGAAAGTTTAATCCTACACACACTGACCTCATGAATTATCTTTTGTGATCTGGCTGTTAATTTAGCCCAGGTGCTGCCCAGTACCAGCTGGCGTGCAGTAGCTAATAGCCTGATGCTCTCTGGTAGTCATTGTACAATATTACAGTACAAATTAAGCTACGTAATAAACCCAGGTTTTACTTTTGGGGATTGGCGATGTGATGGTGCTGTACTGCTAAGCAAATGCGACTGGAGAGGTGGGAGTTTATATTGGCAAACATTCACACTAAACTAATTGGTGCTTAGACTTTTAAAACGGTAGTGTAATAAAACCTTTTTATAACAAATGTCCACTCACCATAATTTCTAACTGTGAATATTTGGTTCTTATGTAGACAGATTTTGGGCATGGGCCATAAAAAACTGTAAAACCGCTCAAAAGCTAAATCTAGAATAGTAGTTCATACTCAATGATCAGTTCAAATTCATTCATTTTCATAATCTTCCACAACCTCTACCCTCTGTGTGTGTCTCCTGCCCTGATACATGTCATGATCACCTACTGTCGGCTGTCGCCACTGTAAACTCTTCTGTCCGGCTGTAACACTGTGTTGATATGGGACTTGGACATATTCCAAATGGCCTCCCAGTCTGCCAGTGTTGGTTTATAGTCTCAACTTGTTGAAGCAAATTGAGTTGTACATGTGCACTGGGTAAATAGTGAGTAGTAAATGTTAATGGAAGAAACGATACCATGTTTATGGTTGTGTTTTGACTTTATGGTTGCACAGCTGGCTTTTGTGCCCTCGCTATTTATTTCACGACTTCCTAAAGATCATCTAAGTTTTTTTTTCATCGAAGAGAGACGCTTCACCTCGAAAGTAAAGTCATAAGCCCGAGTAGCTGATAAAACAAACATCTTTACTGTCATTATATTTGGGAGTGAAGCTTGTGGCCTGTTTTAACTACTGTAATACTGTAGTGCAATTCTTACTGATGGACTGACAGGATGTCTGTCAGGATATTGTACGTCAACAGTCAAATCACATGTCCGACTAGGCAACCACTATCAGTGCCCTCATATGTTTGTCAGTGTGCAGATAAACATGCAGTGATAGCTCAAAGGACTTCCTGTCAAATGCATAATGACTACAAATTATTTTAAATTGTTATGTGCTGTATTTTCTCATACTTATCTTTATAGATTGTCTTGCCTAATTGCACTTTTAACTAAGAAAAATAGGCTGTAAAGAGATGTTTGAC